TGCATAAACAATATGGAGAGAATTATTAGCTCACACAATAGTAAAATCTTGAGAGACCTTCATGAGAATCTAATACAAAATCATACCCAAATGAAAACATCAACATGCAATTGCGGGAAAGGATCAGAGTGCCAAGTTGAAGGAGTATGCATGGCGGAAAATGCAATATATGAAGCAACAATTTTCCCCAAAGAGAATGTTGAGGAGAAAAGGATATACATAGGAATATCGGCGGGAAATTGGAAACACCGACTGTATAACCATCGCCAGTCCTTCACAAATAAATGTAAAAAGAACCAAACGGCACTGTTAAAGCATTATTGGGACTTGTTAGAGGTTGGCTTAACCGCACAAATAAAGTGGAAAATAATCTCGAGAGCCAGAACTCCAAAACATTTCAGAGACAGATGCAACTTATGCATAAAAGAAAAAATCCTCATGCTCAAACACAAAGATCCAGATTTATTACTAAATAGACACAATGAACTAATTTTTAAATGCCGACATAAGAACAACCTAAACCTAAGGAAATACATTGAGAAATAACCATATAGAAAAATTAATATTGAATGACCTTTGTTCTTTTTGCTTTTGGAAATGTTGCTATGCACGCCTGAACGCGAACACATGACTGTATGTGTATAACTATGGTATTGTACTTGAACACTGATACGTCTTTTAATATGTACATGTTTTTATATGGAAAGAGAGGCATGCAGGTTTTTTTTATGTATATGTGAGTGTGGATGTGTATAATTAGATGGGTACTTATATGTCTTCCCACAGCTATGGGATGGCGAGTAATATATATATATATATATATATATATATATATATATATGCATAATTATAGGAATTTGTGTATTCATAATGTAATGACATATTGATATTGATATGTTCTTTGAATGCATGCATATGTGTATATGTATATATATATATATATATATATATATATATATATATATATATATATATATATATATATATGTGTGTGTGTGTGTGTGTATGTGCTATATGTGTATATGTATATGTGTGTGTACGTGTATATGTGTATATGTATAGATGTGCATGTATGGGTGCTTGTGCATGTGTGTATATATGTATATATATATGTGTATATATGTATATATGTGTGTATATATGTAAGTATATATGTGTATGTTTGGATATATATGTATATATGGGTGTATGTGTTTTTCTACAGGTGTATATGTGTATGTATGGGTATATGCATATAGTTTTGTGTGTATGCGTGGGTATATGTATATATGGATTTATAGGAATATCGGGATTTGTATATATGCGGATATAGACAGTTGTTCGGATATGTGTAGAGGTGTGTATGTGTATGGTTATAAAGAATATTATAAAAGAAGAACCTAATTTTCTGTTAGTAATGTTTTATCCAAATTTCTCCTCTAATATTCTTCAATTGGAAATATTTTACCCTTTAATAATCATTATTAATGATAAAATTTTTAAATTGGAATAACCTTTGATAATTGTGTAGGTATCTAAAAACAGTCACGAGTTTAATTTATGAACAAAACTCAAACGAATAGATGTCAACTTAATAATCAACAAGAAAAAAGTTTAGGAAAATAAAAAAAGATACCTGGATGTAAAATGAATTATTCTTTCAATGTACTTTCTATGATTTTTTTTCCAATCGATTATTTAATAGAAAATACCCAAAACTCCAACAAACATCAAATTAAATTCTTCGTAGATTTTTTTAGACATTTAGATTTATACCAAACTTTCACCTCTAAATATACCCTTTAAAGTAATGCGAAATAACAGCGTCTAAGAATTTGAATGAAACCTTCTCTCAAGTGAGTCTAAATAATACGGAGGTAAATTTTAAATTGATAATTTAATTTAAATTGAAATATATTACCCTTTAATAATCATTATTGATGATAAAATTATTTAAATTGGAATAACCTTTGATAATTATGTAGGTACCTAAAAACAGTCACGAGTTTAATTTATGAACAAAACTCAAACGAATAGATGACAACTTAATAATCAACAAGAAAAAAGTTTAGGAAAATAAAAAAAAATTTACTAGATGTAAAATGAATTATTCTTTCAATGTATTTTCTATGAATTTTTTCCAATCGACAATTTCATAGAAAATACCCAAAACTCCAACAAACATCAAATTAAATTCTTCGTAAATTTTGTAGACATTTAGATTTGTATCAAACTTTAACCCCCAAATAAATTACTTTAAAATAATACGAAATAACAGCGTCCAAGAAATAGAGTGAAACCTTCTCTCATCCGGATTATTTTCTTGTATCTTCTTCCTTTTATGTCGGTTTTCTTCTTCACCCCTTACTCATCCATATCTAAAGATAACATAAGTTAAGTTAAGCGTTGTCTGGCCCACACCAAGTGGGGTTAGGGATAAAGAATTAAAATGGTACATCTAACTCACTCATGTCTTCTCTCCCCCTCACTTCCTCACTTCGTTAATTTACGTATGCTTAATACGGCCCGTCAAAAATGTGTAAATTTCTTTCATTTTTCATTTCAACCTTTGGAAGTAAAGTCTGATGATCCAGAGCCATTTAAAAGGGCTGTGGTGAAATAATTTATTACATGGAACCTTAAAGTGGTCTGTTTTTATTCAAACATATATATATATATATATATATATATATATATATATATATATATATATATATATTACTAAGAATTTAAGCGAATAAAAATTAGTGATTTTTTTCTCCTGATGTTGACCATGATAGCCGTAACTAGTCGAGGAAACTGATTGAAAATTAAATAAAAAATATTAATATACAACCCAGTGAGTCTAAAAATTGTAACTTTTAATATTTTTTATTGTTCAAAACATATCTATCAGTGTGTGCGTCTGCATATATATATATATATATATATATATATATATATATATTTATATGCTTGGGGTGAAATGATTAAAAAAGATGTATATATAATTTATTCGATAATTATAACATAAATATGTTATAAAATCCCTACAAAAGTAGCCATTTTGTTTCAACACTCCTAACACCATCACTTGATAAGACACCAGATGTGTTGAAACAAAATGGCTATTTTTGTAGGGATTTTATAACATATTTATGTTATAATTTTCGAATAAATTATATATACATCTTTTTTAATCATTTCTCCCCAAGCAAGGCGGGAATGCCAATGGTACGCAGGGGTTACAGAGAGTTAAGGTATGAGAAATGACTGGGTATAGGAAGGACCGAGGAAAGTATAAAAAATTTACTGGTTTCAAGATGGCGATTGACGCTGCATTTAATTTTTGAAGATTGTGATTATCAAGGAAGCCAAGAAACGGAAGGGAGATCCACAGGCGTGAAGTGCGAGAAAAGAAACTGCTGGACTACAAATGGTGGTTACATTTACCTAATTCAACAGTAAAATGGTAGGACCTAGATGCCAAACTTGTAGAATGCTTAAACTAACGCAGTTCGGGAACCAGGGGAAAAGCTCGTCAGAGCAGTTGCCATGTAGAAAAAGACAGAGGGAAGCCACATGTCGTTGAGAAATTGACTGAAGTCGAGATGCCAAGTCAGGATGATTTTATATATAATGAAACAGAAAATTATAGCGCTAATGTGTGTGACGATATCCTCCACACATCACTGAACAAGCTTTGATGACATCCAAGGTCGGTTGTACGCGTATATATACGCGGCTTGCTATGTTCACAGGTTTGTTTCACTGACCATGATCTAATTCACAAAGAATAACAACAAATATTTTTCAAGACACTGATTGGGAAATAGTAAACAATATGATTTCTCACTTAATCGATAATGTCGTCCTTCTGCTTCGCGAAGGGGAACTGCAATCTTGCTAACTTCCAGCCACAAAAAAAAAAAAAAAAACTTACATTCACTCCCCGACCCAGCGATCGCTGACTCACACACTGCTGGTCCTTTTCTTACTGACTGCTCCTGACTGACTACTCATTATATGGACACCAGCTGGGGTCCTACCACCTCTATTCGTCCATTTCTGTTTCGGCAAAGGAGACCACCCATTCAGATTTGGAGGTGGTCAGTTTTATGATTATCTAAATCCCTAACAAAATTTTATGGTTGCCACTTCAAAGGCGGGCTGGAGACAAGGTCTTCCTGAAAATCTCTGATCATTAAATTGACCCAAAGATAGGACTGGAAACATGATTCCTAAGAATATTAGGTCATTAAATTGACTTAAAAGGAAAAATAATTTATATTTCTGCTAAGGATATATGAGAAATCATATTACTATATGGCGAACTATATAATTCTCACTTTCAACTTCTTTTTTTATATGCCGTGTGCCTTCATATTATTGACAATCATGGCTCTCCACAATTCCTTGAAGCTCTTAGTAAATAGTGTCTCTTTTTTTTTATACCTATCTCTACTAAGGTCTATTCACCCCGACATAAGTTTTATTAATAACGACTGACAACGTAATGAGGCTAAGTTTTTTCTTCTTTTCTGGACATAAATTATGTAGAAATTGACCGAATGTTCTGTATTTTCGAGCGATTTCGGTTATACTTTTAGCCATTATCAAGGATCATTTTATTTTTACTATCAACTGAATGTATGGATTGATTTAAGTATTTATCTAGAGTTATGAGAATGTTTTATTTTCCAAATACGGTCAGCACTATATATATATATATATATATATATATATATATATATATATATATATATATATAATAGATCCGTTGGTATATAATCCAGGTGGATCCTGGTAATATCAAATATTAAAACTGATCCACAAAGAGAGCTCAATGTATTTATTATGATAGATAATATAAATTACACAGAAAAAAAATCCAAAATTACCTCATGTGGACATCGCCTATTTCTGAGACGAGTCCAGTCCGTCGTTGAAGAAGACCGGCGCAATAATTAGCCGGCGAAAATGTGCTATACCCACCGTGCTGGCCTTGTTAAAGATAAAGGACAAAATGATCACATCACATTATGCTCTCTCTCTCTCTCTCTCTCTCTCTCTCTCTCTCTCTCTCTCTCTCTCTCCCTCCCCTAACTATCTCTCACTGTAACTATGTCTGGTCCTTATCTCTATCGTAGAAGAATATGTAATATGGATTTGCTTGCCAGCATGGCAGTCGGGTGTGATTCTAAGTGTTTGTGCGTATGAAAAAGAGATTCGATGATTTTGATTAGAGAAATATTTACTTTTCTGACAACTATCATTTACAAAGATACCTAATTTTTTTTTAAAGAAGCACAATAAACAAAAAAATACATTTTAAATTGCTAACGTTTTTCTCATTAATGTGAAGTCATTTTGTAATTTCATTTTGAAATACGTTCATAGTAAATGCTTTGAAGAACATTATGAAACATAGAGTTTATAAACTTAAGCGTCGTCCTAGACTGGCGACAAGGCATCGTCATTTTACAGCTTTAATGGCAAGATATAACCGTAAATTCTAAGCAAACAATTTCTCTCGTATTTATCGCTTGTTGAACCCTCCTCCGTCTTTATGCTTCCCAGGCAACTTTGATCTTCAAAAATTTACGTCCAATGTCATTTGTTATTTTGTCTCTTCTTGATGCCTGTTCTTTTATTTCTCTCTCTCCTTAATATTGTTTTATTCCTTATATACACAAACTCTTAGTAATTCCTTGAGTTTTTTTGGAGAGGGGAATTCTTAAAAAGAAAGACAATAAAAGAATAACAAAAGCTGCAAAATTTCTGGAATAGTTTTATTTTGGTAAACAGAAATAATATAAATGTATTTCGTCAAATGGATGCAAGATTTTGTAGATGAAAAAAAAACTGCAATAACCACGGCCACTGTTTGTACTGAAATGAAATACAATTTCAGAAAAAAGCTGCAAATTAGATCAGAAGACTGCTTAAATTTGCCCGAACAATAAATCTTCATTTTTTACCTGAGTTTAGTAATATATTTCCGATAAATATTCACTCAAAATGGATCAAATGAATGACTGTGGATGACTGTGCTCTCGTTCGCAGATTAAGCAGTATGTGGAAATGATATTTTTATCATAATCCTTTCATATTCACGAATATTTTTCCGTATATCATAATCAAATGAGGTAAGAAATGCACTGTTACAGAGAATGGTATTTTATTGAAGATTTATGTAGAGGGGAACAGGATTTCAAAATTTTATCCTTATGTCTTGTGGGGCCAATCAAAAGACAAATCAAAGCTAAAGTAAAAAATTGAAAAAATTGTATGTTAGAGGGTAGGTGTGTATGTGTGTGTGTGTTATTCATCATTGTCTGTCATTTTTAGACATGTTACCATTACTTTTGGCTAAGAATATAATTTTTAGATACAATTAAATAATCAGAGGGATATATATGCAACAAAAGGTCAATTTTAGGATTTTTTTAAAATATTTAAAGGGGATTTTGTTATTATTAAATCATTTTTATATATTATATTACATTAAAATACTTATTATATTCATAAGACATGGCAATATTAAAAGTAAAAATCAAGGAATTAAATAAATATTATATGTACCATTATATATAATAAAATAATGGATCTATAATTGTAATGTATATATTTTTTAATGAAAAATTCTATTTACTATATTTTAAAGTAAATATTGCACAATACCTACTACAGCTAGTTCATTCCGCTGATTTAATAGATCATTATTTTTGGAAACTTAATAATATGTAGTTTTCATGTAGACAAAGGGGTCATGGGTAATTTAATGGCTTACAAATTCTCGTTTGTTTTAATAATGTCCATATTACAGTGCGGGGGGTTATTGATTTCTTTTAAATACCAAAATATTTAGAGATGAATATTCGATTACGATACCCATTGTTGTTAAAGGAAGAAATATGTTGATATCACCTTCATTTAAAAGTGTTATTTGTGCTTCCAATATAAAATTTCTTAACATCTGGGTTTTCAGCTATTATGATTCACTTTTTTATTATGATTTATTTTTTAAATTATTTTTACGACTATTTATATGTCAGTCTCAATCTCTATATTTATATTCTTCCTAAATGAAGGTGAATTTTCAAGATATATTCTATATTATTCACTCTCTAAAGTTTTATCTTAAAAACTCAACACGCATAGCTTAATAGATTTAAATTTTTCTAACAAAATTAACTTTTGTGATACTCCTCACAAAAGTTTCAGATTTTTCTATGCAGATAATGGCTCACCTTGCCATGCCGTGTTTTATATTAAGTGGATGCTAATACTGTGCAACCTGATGTAAGATGATGAAATCTTTCTGGATATTCTTCACAGAATCTGCATTTGGGATCAAAACAATTCTTCAGTATATTATCTCGATGTATAGTTAGCATGCATTGATTTTGCGCAGTAAAAATAAAACCTTCGGTTTTAGCTTTTAATCGTGCAATATTAATTAATGATGGGTAAGGTGTTTTTCTACATCAGATTGTTTGGCATTGAGTGACCATGAATTGATTTATCTTGCCAACATTTCTGCATTTATTCTATTGCATTTACCTTTGCCTTCTTTTATGGTTTCTTTGTCGCTGATTCCTGGACTGTGGCTTACTTGCTCCTCTTTATCCACTTAAAATTACCTTTTGAAATTATTGTCTTCCTTCATTACAGAATAAAGTTTTTTTTTTACACCTGTCATATACTTAGACACAGATCATCATTCAGTCTTCTGTAATTTCTATGTATTTATGAAAACCGATTGATGATTTTTATTAAGATAGTTCTATTTGAACTAATACTCTAACTTCTTCGAATCTGGACATATACAGGCTATCAACATCGGACTTAACATGCAGCATGCGGTAGTAATTATAAAGCTTTCTCGTTTTGACATCCATTCACTTTACCATTTTTGCAGAATGGCTTTATAGGTTCGTTATAACATTGCCCACCGGAAAAAGGTTTATCACCGTTTCTCTTATCACGAATCAACAGAAGGCTAATTTCATGGTGGGTATGGGGCACCCATGTATTCTAAAATTTATTTTACGAGGGTGAAATATTTTCACTTAATTCCGCGACCTTATCAAACAGTTGTGTTCTTATTGAGTAGAAGGAGAAAAATATACGAAATTTTATATAAAGAATAACTTATATAATATATACTACTGAGAGAGAGGGAACGAATATGTCCTGGGTAAGACAATAAACTACATCCGACAGCAAGGCTTCTGATCAGGAGGTTTTTGCTGTTACCAGGTCCACCCTGAACCGGCGTGGTAGCACCTGTTAAGTTCCCACCTGTGGGCAAATAGTTGACAACCAAAGTGGGGTCAAAACACTATGAAAGTGCAAAAATAAATTGTAATACCAGCAATACAACTTTGTAAAATATTTTTTTTGAAAAAAAAAATATTACCAGCAATAAATTTTTGAAAAAGAAATTAGCAGCAATACATTTTTTGAAAAAAATATAACCGGCAATAAAAATTCAAAACAAACTTGTTGGCATTAAATAAACCATTGTGGGTTATATGCCGTAAAAAAGAAAAAGAAAAAAAATAATAGAAAGAAAAAAAAACCAGAAAGAATGTCAGGACGTTTTAATAAAAGCAATAAATTCAGTGATATTAATCCTAAAATTGGACGGAATAAATTAAGTTGCAAGAAGCAAAATATTTCTGTAGAATGTGATTGCAAAAAAGCATTATTGTATTAACGTCATTATATAATATTCACAAAAACAATTCTCTTAACAACCTATTGTGTAAAAATAACAAAGAAATAAAACATTTTAAAAATAGTTAAAATATATTCCCATTGATAATAATATACCTGTAATTCATATTATTTTATTGCATGATTTGATGGAAAAAACATTTTTTTTTTTTAGTTTGTATTCTTCCTGCAAAAAAAGTGAAAATTATTGACTACAATATTTTTATTTATCTCTATATAAACGATATTAATTTAAAGAATGAAAATACGTTGTGACAAGATTGCGTCCCTTGAATAAATATAGGAGGTTCTCTCCCTTAGATCATTGAATTATGTCCCCTGGTGGTTTCAATTTACGATGTAAAGTTAGGTCAATTTCCGTTAAACTAAAAAAATCAAGAGCGTAAGTTGTTTGATGTTGAACATTATTGAGAAAGACTTAAATAATTTTATTGTGACAAATTAGTGACTGGGAGACGTAAATTATTAAACTTTCAGAAACGGTTAAATAAGTTGTTCACTAGCGATTATATCTATTGAAAGAATGTAATTCGAAACTTTTTAGTGAGTACGAAATAATAGCTTCCTTTACCCATTCTCTTCAAACTCGGGTGAGTTGAGGAAAAAGATGGAAAGGAATTCGCGTGCCTATGTGAACTATTCTTTGAACCTTCACAGAGATTGACGGCAAGTTGAGAAAATGGAGGATATAAACTCGTGTGCCTATGTGAAATTGATTTGGAACAATGAAAACATTGCCTTCACAAAAAGTATCCGTTGAACTAAGAATAAAGAAAAAAAGCAGCGACTTTATGTGAAATTTTTTTTGGCATAAAATGAGGAGAAAAATTAAGTTAATAAAAGAAGAGTATCTAAGGCCGTGTGAAAGGATTTATTTCTCTTCACAGCATATAGCCTTGATGTAAAATTACTCGCCAATTATATTATTGGCCTATTAATTAAGCTCGTGGCACTTCAAAGAATTTCCTTTCAACAATCCAAGAAAGCGAAGTATTTCAAACTACACCATTTTGCCTACTTTTGAATGTATACAACTATATATCACTTCTAAGAGCAAGGAACCCGCTTATCTTTGTTTTAAACATTTTTGAATATTAATTTATGCCATATTATTTAATCAGTTGTATGACCATTTCCTCTTATGGACTATAAAATTTTCTGATTTATTTTCCTGGAGCGTGTAAATTCTTAAATAAATTCCTTATCTTGTTTCGTTAAAATTACCCCTGTGTTTCCACGTCATACTCCATTAATCTCGACGTCACTATAACTTTATATCAAATCGTATGAACGTATTTGTTGAGGCAAATTCGTGTTCGTCATGTTGAGGAGAAAGACTTCTTTCAACTGAATATTAGGAGAATAAAAAATGTTCTTTCAT